AAAAAAAGAGAAAGAGAGAAAGAGAGAGAGAGAGAGAGCGAAAAAAAACAAAATGACGATCTGGTGTTTATAGGCTTTGTTTGCTGTTCCAATGTCTCCTGCTTCTGACTCAGCAGAAACGTTGGAAAATCCACGAAGAACGGCACACACGGAGCCTGAGGCGCACACACACAGAGCTTGAAACATTGGAGAAAGACCAATAAAAGTGTCACACACGGAGCCTGAAACATTGGAAAACCCAAGACAAGCCAAACCTGCTGTCTCAGCGGAAAGAGTTGGACTCACCGACAAACGCCACACACGTAGCACACAAACATACGAGAACGCATTCACATGCACATACATTGAGCGGAAACACTATAAGCACCACTAGAATCGTGCATGCCGCTTCATATTCGTCAGACATTTATCACGGCAAGTATGCTTTGCGAGCCTTGATTGCCTACGACCTTGTTTCGCCTCGTTGGAGCTCAACGAGAACTGTGCTTGTTCTTTTGAGTTCATTCATTAAAATTTTGTCATTGCTCAACTGTATACTTGCAAAAGTGATTGCTAACAACAACTTACTTGTGATGCACACATAGAAAATGCTCAGGCATATATAACAGATATTTAAGCAGTGCCCAATTAAATACTGCGTAGTTTGATACTCTTTAGCTACTACCTAAGCATACTTGCTGAGCATTAAACCTCTATTTTGCGTGATGCTTGTTTGGCATTGGAGCACTTCTCGCTTCGTTTTTGCAGATTGTGTCGTTCATTGAAATCTCATACTGGGAAATTTTCCTTTGACGTCTAATATCTACATAGTCTTCAGGCTGTGCCTTACTACTATAGGTGGTGCCGTAGTTAAACACCTCATCTCAGTGCTCGCTGCATACCTAGTCGATGTTCAATGCCGAGCTCTCTATGTTTATGTAAGTTTTCTACGCACAAAACTGAACGACAAGCATTCATTCATTACCCGTCGAACATTTTATGTCCAAGAGGTTTTGATAACAAGCAGATACTAAAGCAAAATAGCTGAGGTTTACCTTTTGTTTAGGGTTTACTTTGTTGAAAACTAAGCCGTATTTCCTTGATATCTATACCAATGGCTGCTTCCTCTGGTGAAATATTCACCAGTTGGTAAGCAATACTCGGGTATATACGGACTGTTTAAGCCATGATTCAGTCGCTCACGAATACTTGGTGCATGCTTATGTGTTTTAGCGATCTCCTTGCTAATGAACTAAGAGCTAATCACTGTTGAGGAACACATTAGCACTTACCAGTAGTTGCAATGCCGTGAATGATGATCTGTCTGCTTTCTGCTGCCGCACCGAGAAGTTACTCTTATCATCGTTAGCCAAACAGTGTGAACATGAATAGCGCCTACTGTGTGGCTTGGGCAATATGTAGGCATGGGGGCAGAAGAAATCGAATATTCAACATAATTGGTATTTGCTCTAACAAAACCAACAAGACATGTATTGCAAATGCTGCTTAACAGTGAAAGTGTAGGGAATGGATAGTAAGTGGATGAGCCATGGGTGAGGCGAAGGGTACAGGAAAGCGCATGTAGTGGCTGTGGTAAGTGCCTCTGCAAATGAAGCCCTGCAGACACACACCGGTGATATAAACACACCAAACAGGTAGGTATCGTAAAGTAGCATATACAATAAAATTCAATGCAATACTATAATACGCTATACTATACGAGACTATGCTGTACTATGAATTACTATAACGAAAAACAATATGAATTAATATATTATACTTACTACAATATGATTGTATTTTATATGATATTTTATAAAAAAAAGTACAACGTATATTTGGGTATATATATATAATACTGTATCAAACTATGTATAGACCATACAACAAATCATATATAAGATCATATGTAATATAATATGTTATATGTCATGAATTACATTATATTCTTATATTTTTTTATAATGCTACATTATATTGTACTATTTGTATAGTTATAATTTAATAATTGTAATTATGATTTTAATTATAAGTATATATATATATAGACATATGCAGTTATATTTATATTCGTATCTATATTTATACTTTTATTTATAGTTATAGTTATATTTATATCTCTATGTATATATGTATATATATATACATATAGAGAGAGAGAGAGACATTGTGATATAGATTGTGCTATATACCATAGTAGGGAACATACTTTATAATGTTATGTAAAATGATATAATAGAACAGAACAGAATAAAACAGAACAGAATAGGATAGAATAGAAAAGAACGTAATAAATTCCAATACAACATACACACATGTATACATATATGGATATGTATCGAGTTAAGGTGAGCAACATAAAACGATGTACGACGATTCATACCTATGAGGGCATGTGCAGAACATAGGGAACGCTGCCTCACTGTCACACAGACCGAAAGTCACAAAACCCATGTAGCATCAGGTATTCGCGAAGTCTTGCAGCAAAAAACAAACAGCTCAGCCCCTTGCCTGCGCAGCCTGCCTGGCGCTTCGTTGCAGGGAGGAGTTGGGCTTCAGGCTGCAGCTCAGGGTTTAGGGTGTTGTCGGTGCGGAGTTGGCAACAGCACCAAAATGGTTGCGTGGTCGCGTCGTGTACGATCGCCAGAGGGCCATGAACCCGGATGGCATCATACCGGGCCCATCCTCAACAAGGAGCTAAAGAGCTGCTTCTGATGTCATGATTTCCGACAGCCCGAGTACCGTGGTGACAGAGGCGGTGTCAGGAAAGTAGGCTCGGTGTCTGAAGCAATAGACATCACGTGCCCGGAACATAACATGGAACGGTCGCAAAAGCTGCTTTAGCTATGTTCTTGTGCTCTTGCAGACTCTTGCACGCAATACAGATCCAAAGGAGCCAAACTCGTGGTGGAACGCCTGAGCCGGTTTCAGATCGCGCCTTCCCACGATGCCCTCGTGAGCGATTCGCTTGAGCACCCGGTTCTGGTGCTTGGTGATGGTATTGGCACCTCTCACCGGTGACGGGGCTCTCACAGTCTAGCAGAGCGAGGTCGTTGCAACGAGTAATAGGGGCTCGTTTGCTGAACCTCCTGCATCTACAATGAACGTTGGTCTTGCTAGGTAGCAAGATGAAGCTTTCCTTAGCGTATCATGATGGCAAGAGACCCAAAAGCAGTTCAGGAAAGAAGACACTAAGATATTGGCATTGAGAATCTCTGCTCAGCTCAGCTGCGGCTCTCATTTCGCAGCCTCGCCTGTAAAGAGCTCCTCTCGCTTGGTCCAAAGAACTGCGACTTTGCCACTGCTGAAGCCACCACCGCCCCTCGGAAAAGGGCTGGCTTTGCTATGTTTCGACTTGCAAATCAAACTTCCTGTCGGCAGGAACAGGACTGCAAGCAGCGTCAAATAGCTGTGGGCGGCGTCCCCGTGGTCTTGTTGCCCTCTTTTGGACATTGGAGTATATGTCGCACATGCATAGTGTCGAAAGAGTATGGATGCAGAGCCACGACTTTACGCACGCAGCTGTGCCGCGACATGCCCTTTACATGACAACGAAGTCCAGCTCTGTACACCACCACATGCAAAATCAAAATGAGCACAATGATGAAACCAAATCTGTATGCAGCACCGGCACCGGCCGGTTTTCACGGATTATCTAGCAACTGCATCGCTGCAAGCAACCATTGAGGCAGCTGTGCTGCTGCAGTTCCTGTAGACTGTCCTTCCATCACTGCGAAAGCGTCTCGAAGAAGTACGCACCCATACCAAGTGATAAGAAGAACAACAACATCATGGCAATGCATCCGGTAGTAGTAGTAATTTGTAGTAGCGTGACGACTCGAGAATATAAGTAAGGTGAAGACGCCGAGTAGAAACCTTCACCTTTGCTCGCTCCGTCGTTCCCCGTGTCTTCGCTATTCTCTGCAACTGTCAGCTTCGACTTACCGTCAATCAATCCTTTTGCCCAAGAACAATACCACTGCCGACCCAGGAACGTACCAAACGCGTCAATAGAAATCCCTAAGTTTTGCAGTGCTTAGCCGTCGGCCACAAGAAGCAGTGCGCTGAGTGGATCAAGTCAATGACGGTGCCTGTGTCATACCTGCTTCTCCGGGATCAGGATGCTCGGAGATCTCCCACCAAGCCAACAAGAAACGTTTCTTAATGGTCGGTCGGCATAACAAGGTCTTACATCAAGTCAAGTTTTAATTGGCACAAGTTACATATGTAGCCGACGTTGCTTCACACACACAGGTCTTTCGAAAACCTTTCCAGGCATCCCGAAGCAATTGGACTACTACAGCATTGCATAGAATCTAAACTGAAAACCCATCAGGCCCCAACAACTGAAATCTAGGTGCTAGGGTTCAACTGCTGGTTTTACATGCAATGTCATTGAATGAAAACCTGCACTCGAGAAAGCACTGTACCAGAGGAACCTTGCATGCAGACAATGAGCTTTAGTCTCCTAAGTCGTAGAACCGCAGTAGCGCAACCATCGGACTCTTCGAGCTGGGGGTAAAGCCTCCTAAATGACTTTCAAAACTCTCGACTCTAGACTCTAGAACCTCTAGAAACGCTTCAAACAGGGGAAGTCTCCATGCAATATATGCATTTGAGGAAAAAGATCCTTCTTGAGCCTTTCGCACCGTCAAGTGAGGGAATGATTTGAGGCTCCGACAGCGAGGCCAGGAAACCCAGAACGACACTGCGCCTTTGAACTGTAGAAGGGGGCTTCGGGGCGAAGGTGTGTCATGGAGTTTGGGCGGTTGAAGCAGGCGAGGCCATGTAGGGGAAGACGGCTTAAGGTTTTGAGCGGTCAGGGCAGGCATCCTGTCGTTATGTTTCTGGGGCTCTCGAAGGTTTCGGGTAGATCGAGGGGGGTCATCTTGGGACTTCGCGAAGAGGCTGGGTCATCAGTTTCACCCGCAACCTCGCACCACAGGTGTCACAGAAGCAGCGCGGCCTATCCAGTTAAACAGGCATGTAAGTGAATGCAACACTGGTAGATTGGTAAATGACTGCTCGCTGCAGCTACGCTCACCCATGCCAAGGGCTTGAAAAGAACACGAGCGGCCGACGCAAGCGAAAGTGCTTCACAACGGCATTACGAAGCGATAGTGAGGCTGATTGGACGAAGGCCTTATGCCAAGTCCGTCGAATTGCATCTCCACATCAGAATGCAGAGGCTCACCCGAAACTTCGTTAATCCAAACCCGGCGAGACGAACCATTTGGCAAGTCGGTGTGCTGCCAGAAACGAAAGATGCAGCCTACACCTGGAATTCATTGCGCTCGCAGGCCCGAGGGTCAGATGTAACAGAACACGGCGATTCAGACCTTGATCTGCGCTAGGTTCCCTTATCACCTGTGCAGGGAGGGACCACTGATTCGTCTGCATCATCATATGCGCCTTAAGAATTCTTTCCGGACTGATTTCCAAAGTTGTCCGCAGATAAGCTCCTCGTCGGGATGCTTTCTGGATGCCCAGTGTGCAGATGAAACGATGTCATGCACCACGGACCACTTTCGAGTCCGCCAAACTTTAGATCGAGCTTCGACTCTCATTTCCGTCAAGCTTCCCTGTTTCGCGGCTGCTGACTGCTGCTGCACAACACCATCTACAAAGCAGCAGTGACGAACAGCAATAGCGACGAAAACGTCGACACTAACGACGGCTATGACGGCGCAAACGACGACCGTGAAGAACCCAACGGCCGCTACGACCACGATTTGAAAAACAGAGAAGGCCAAAAATCAGCCGTCATCCAAGTAATCCGACGTCATCAGCACGGTCATGAGAATCATAGTGCAAAGCGCGAGCGTTCACAAACATTTTCCCTGTCATGCAGCCACCAACTGCTTCTTCCGCACATCTCATGTCCGCACCCAAGACCGGAGATGAACGAAGTCTCGACCTCAAAACCACTGTCTCAAAATCCTGTGCCCGGGTTTCCCAACATCTCCAGAGCAGACTGGCAGGACATCAGCTCCGTCCGCTTAGCCTCATGCGGAAGATCATCGCGTTTCTTTGAAGGGTCTGGTGGGGCGAGGTCTTTCATTTCACTAAACCCAGCATCACTGCGTACAACCTCCATCACATAAGAAGTGAACCTCCATTTTGAGTTTTCGGGCTGTCCTACAAGAAATGGGGGGGCGAACTTGGAATTCTCTCCAGCACAAGCACAAAGTACTAGGGCAAAGCGACCATCAAATCAGCACAGTCTGCATCCGAAGCTTACCATGCCAATGTGCCTATCAAGTTCCTCTGGCCACGGCCGTGTAAAGCGAAGCTACTAACTTGGCCCCTAAAACGAAGTCCTTCATTGAGAATTCTCCAAAGCTTACACATTGATGGCAAGACTCGATCGGACACTTCTCTCCCAGCACATCTATGCGCACAGCCGAGCCCCCTACACGCAGGGAGGCGAAGCCAAGATCGATCAGGTTTGCACGGGCCTTGGGGACGGGCTGAACGAACGTGAATTTCAGAAGGGTTGGATGCAAGGGTTCGTTTGTGGGCATCGGGATCCAGACTGGAGACGAGTCCCTTCATAAGAGTAAGGAGAAGGACGGTCGAGACATCTGCCCTCATCTGCCGGGGCGTCTGCATGAGGCTGCGCTTTCGGATTCGACGACTGCAGCAGCAAAGCATCCCAGAGCCTGCCGTCGAACGCAGCTTGGGACTCTTGGTGTTTGGTTCCGAGCCGTTTCGGATGTGGAAGGGTGAAACCAGATTGAAAGCAGGGGACCCCCAGGCAACAGAAGCCCAAGTTTCCCTAAACCTGATGACCTTGGCGCTGGAGACTTTCTTTACACAGGCTCCCTCCGGTTGTTGGGATTTGCTCATGCTGCTGTCATCGTCTACTTTTGATGCTGCTTTCGATCATTTCTTGTGCTGATGCCGCTTTCGCTGCGATTGTTTGTTTTATGGTTGTTGCGGCAACTAGTCCCTCTGATTTGTTGCCGGTTCAAGCCGGTTGCTGCTGCACGAGGTTGAAACGAATCAAAAAGCTGCCCTGCATCATGCAATCAATGCAATGCTATGCCCACCTTTGTTCGCGTTGCATCCTCGAAACTATTGTTTCTAAGAGGCGCCTGAATACGCTGGCCGTCGGCATGTACGTTGCAAACCACCTGGCACCGAGAGGTGAATCAGCACGGGCTACCTGGTGTCGGGATGTACATCTGTGTGTCCTCTTGTCTGCCCGTCTATGTATGGATCCATGTATGAATGCATGCATGTACGTAAGGTCATACTGCATGATTTGTTTCGATACGCCAAAAAAATATTCTTGAATACGCCTATTTACTGCCTTTCTTGCTTACACATACAGGTCGCTGGGTAGCTGAAAGGCCTCTTCGATGAAGACCGAAAGCTTTCCGACACTTCCATGAGAAGTGGGCCAGCACAGTTCTAGGAAGGATAGTGGTATAATGTTGTAGTGATAAAGGGACACCGCGCCCATGCGAAGAACAGCCTGAGCTCAAGGGCATACTCGCATGCATAGGTCTTCAGCCCGCGCTTTACATGTTTTCAACTCAAATCCGACAGGCATCCGAGCCCGACGAAGGAATGCCTTACATCCCCAAGCCTTGGAACCGTAAATTGTTGACACTCCGCGCAAGACATGCGAGTTGAAGTCATGGGTAGAGTGGCACCGTGCCAATCTCAGGCCTCAAAGGAGCCTCTTCCATCTCACATCAAGCACAGAAGGGGTCGAGTCTGCCTTGACTACAAAGTCCTAGAGGTCCTCAGAACGTAAGCCCTCGACATCTGTACGCCCGTAGCCAGTCAGGGAAAAGGATGTGCTAAGGCCTCATGAATGCTCCGTAGAAGACGGTGGAGAGATCGAAACCCATCGCCGACATGCCTCGAAGGCTTCGGGCATCCCTTCTTGGGTCAAGGCGTCTTGCTACTGCGACTAATACTAGTAAGAACAAGACTAAACTGCTGCTATCAAACTGACGCCTGGAAGCAGGTGCACACCAAAACAGGCGTAGTCTCGAGAATGCCCACAGATTGGGGGAATGCAAGGATGTATCGGAGCCTGTGGGCCTTGAAGGATAAGTTGAATGCTCGAGACTCCGGAGTGTACTGGGCCGAGAACTTGTGGACTTCAAGCCGGGCAGTAACACTTGAACTCCGAACCACTAAACCCCAATATCTAAGCTTCGAAAACCGACATTCGCTGCTATGCCACATCAGCCAGTCTTGGGCTTGATGTTTGAAGGATCGGATCAACCCTTTCTGCGGTACCGCACAGGATGAGGCATGCTGTCGTGCGAATACTATCCTTCACGGTGAGAAGTACAGCAAAGGCGAACGAGCAAGAAGCGGGGGGGGGCCCAGCAGGTAGCAGTGCCAAACCGGCTGAGGCAGTCGCACTGGTAGAGCTCTTTGTCGTGGTAGGCCACAGCACATTCCAAGAGGTGCACATCCTCGACAACTTCGTCGTGGTTTCAAGATCAGTCCGGAAGGAGAGTCGGGAAATGTCAGCATGTTGGTACAAGGATCCATGCAGCTAGTGCTCAGTGGGATTCAAAAAACAAGGTGACTTAGCATACAAATCCGGGGGAAGGTTTTAAAGTTGCAGGTCGAACACAGGCGTGTCAAAGGAATGAAAGTTGTTGTGTGTAGAAATGGCGAACAGGGATTAGGGTAAGTTCGTCAGCACCTCATGTGGCACTGGTGGAACAAGAAGTACACAAAAGAGGGGAAGCCAAGCGGGTGGACTCTATCGAGCAGCACGGGCTTGCTCTCCAACTCGTCAAGTTTCGAATTTCTGCTGCCGTTTATTGAAATCAACACACCGACTGCAAGGTTCGCCTTTATCATAGGAAGGGTCGGGTTCTATGTCGGATGCCAGCACGAGCATACAAAAAACACATCTGGCATAAGCTGCAAAAGGGTGAAAGGCATAAAGGGTGCGTGCTGCAATGCTCTGGTCCTGTACGGCCCCGCTGCCACCCACCAGCTCCGTCTGGCTGGGGTCTTGCTCCGGCTGAAGTGGCATCCTGGCAACAAGGCTGCCCTTGAGCCGTAGCCAACCTGTATACTCGCAGGAACTTGAGCCCGGAACTCCGAAACCTGCGAAGCAACTCTCTAAGCTTTGGCCCAGTCAGCCTGCCACACAAAACAAAAATCGGGTCACACTGGAGCTGCCGGTTTGGGGGCCACCTGAAGCTTCTACAGCCGCTACTAATACAATTCCAACCCGACGACAACTGCAAACATCACAACCACAGCCGTAACCACCAGCCCCGACCCGCGGCACTCCGAGGCTTCGGCCCATAGTACTCGCGGTAGACCCCATTCGTCCGTGTGCAGATGAGGGTGTACAGGAGCCTAGGCTCTCTGTTCAGCATCGGGGCTGTTACAAGCAAACAGCACGAACCGGCAATAATCGCAAATTCGATCAAAAACAACAGCATGAATTAACACCGTCATCTTTTTTCTTCATCGGCATCGTCATCACTCTCAACATGCATCATGAATCCAGCGCTTTTGGGGGACCAGTTGGTTACAGCATGCAACTGCTCAGCAGGTTCTGCCCTAGGAGCGAAGTCCGGTCTGCAACGATAACAGGTCGATTTCAATACCCCCCCCCTTCAGCAGAAACCTCAAAAGAAGTGTGCAAAACAAAAGCTATTTCGCCTACATCCTCCGCGAGTCCCCGGCCAGAAGACGGAGCTCTCGGTGGGGTGGGTGAGCCCCTCCCCTGTGTAGCTCGACGACGCCACCTCGACTTTCGGGGTTCCGTTTTGGAAGCCCTGGGTTTGGAAGAGAGCTGACCATTCAAATTCTGGATTGAAACCTTGCGGGCTCTAAGTGGCGGGAAGGATGACGCACTCCAGTTGAAGCGATCTAGAGGGACTCTGGACCGGGCTGGAGGATGTCTGCCACGTGCAGTCAAGTATTTCGTCTCGGTGAGGCTCATGAGGGCCAAGGTGCAGTCACTTCGGAGCTGCCGTTCAACCTTGCCCTGTCCCTGTTTCAGCGGACAGGTGCCGACGACCCAGCCCATTCGGACTCAGCACATCCTTCAAGCCACGGTTCCAAAGCTCTTTTCAAGACTCGAGCCTCCTTGTAGCCCTGCGGCAAGAGGAGGAAGAAAGCCAGCACCTCACAAGCAGACATATAACGGATTCAGTGCACAAATACTACGCATATGTCTATGCATGCATGCGTGAATGTAGGCATATAGGAGAGACAGCGAAGGGTACATCTGCAAGGCACAAGAAAACCGATGACACGCACACACGCACACACACACACACACACAAAAAAAAAAGGGGAAGCGCACCAAACCAGCACCGTGGTTGAAGGAAACATCTGGCGAAGACGCTGGGATTAGCCTAGCCTGACCGGCGGAGGCCTGTCAGGACCAGTTTCGGAGTTTAGGCTTCGGTGATTTCTGGCCCTTAGAGCCCCAAAGAAGCTCATCCACTACGGTCCGCGGCTCTGCAGTGTTTACTTGCATGGCGGCATGGCGATACGACCACATGTTGAAACGAAAGCATCAGTACCAACAACAGCGAAAGCGAGAGCGAGGCGAGAGCAAGCAACAGATAGCCAATTCTTTCATCCTGAGTTTGATTGACGTCTCTTTATTCCGTTGATTTTGCGGCAACTACTTGATGACTGACGGTGGGGATTTACCATTCCGGATGAGGAACCATAAAGCTCAAATCCGAGACCCTGCGTCCTGAAATGAGGTGCAACTCCACACAACGACCCTGAACCGACCCCCAACCCGAAACTCAGAACCTCTCTGGCCCTTCACTGATCACAAGGGTGGGACCAGCAGGCTCTCGCAGTAGGCAATGCCGCTGTCTTCCACGGCCAGTAGAGCTGTGACAACCTCCAAGAAACTGGGGTCAGGGCTGTCCTGTGGAGCCGTGGATGCTCGAAAATTGCAGTCTTGTCACTACTGCCCATTGCACGTAGGCGCAAGGCCCTCAAAAGCTACAAGCAGAAAAAAGGCCCCCACGTTCTTTGCATTCTTGATCCGCTTGAGGTGGAGCTCCATCCTTAGAGCCCAGTGAAGCGGGCCGGAAGGCAAATTGGAGTGTTGCATTTCGGGCAATCGAGGGGGGAGAACATCTCTGGAGTTTTGGAGTACCTCCTTCAGGAAGCGTGTTTAGGCTGAGACATCCTTATTCGTGCGCTAGCGCCCCAGATGGCTAAACATCAACCACCTCACTGATCAAGCCAAAGACAAACCCCGGCAGCCGCAGAGAAACCTGAACAGCCAAGGCCCTGAACAAGCCATACTGCCGTAGCCACCAAGCCCGGGCCACCCTGCGCTTCTGGGAGTGGCGGGGTGCTGGACTCCCAGCCGGCGAGCAGTACTGCCTCGGCAGAAGCGGAACCGCGTTTTATGCACGTTAAAGACACACATGAGCGATAATCAACTCGAGTGGACCTTAGAAGCAATGTCTACGCTTTTGATCGAAAGAGTTCACGGTCTGGGGCATGGGGGCTTTGAGCTTTAGATTCAATTATCCTGAGGATGACATAGTCTTCAGCACACGCTCGAGACCCGCATCCTCCCATCAGGCACCGTGGCACATAGGGGCTAGATAAAGATTGCTACAGCACATCTTCCAATCATTGAAGAGGCTGAAACCCTTACGAGCAATGCATGGGAAACATCGCGACGACAAAAATCCTAAAATACGATTTGTTTATGTGGTGGGTTCTGCGGGGACCACCACTAGCACTGACTGCTTGATGGTATCACTAGTCCGACACTCACGAGTATCACGAGTCTTCATGGCAGTACTTATTTCGACATTTCCACAACTACTCCTTTTGCTACCATCACTGCTTTTCTTACGAAGTCACCAAAGTCATGCCGAAGGATAAAGCTCCCGCTCGCAGTCTGGCTCTTGGTCCCGCTCCTGCTAGTGCGGTACGACTACAACCACCACCGCCGCGGCCGCCGCTGCCACCACCAGCTGCTGCTGCTGCTCCTGCTCGTGCTCGTGCTCGTGCTCGTGCTCGTGCTCCTG